GACTGAAAAGATGCAAGCTGTTTGGTGCAGGCAGGAGACAGACACAGAGAGAAATAAAAGACAGTACAGAAGAACAAAGTACAGGAAAGAAGAGCTGAGCTCTTACCTGCTTTCACCCTACACAGGGGAAGAACCAAGGCCCAGCACATCTGAAAGGCAGGAAAGAGGTCTTTTTCTTTTTCTTTTAATAGATTTTCTTTTGAATAAAATAGGAAATGATTAAAGTGTAGATTTTTTCATTTATTTTTTTTCTGCAGGTCATCTCAGAGGTCAAATGTTACTTGGATTCAAAGGAAGATTGGACAAATAAGCATATAATGGGAACATTCATTAGAAAGGGTACAGGCTGCGATATCAAACTGTATGCTTCAGGACATAAGTCCCTCATAAGATCTAAGGAATTAGAAACCAAACTTCCATAAGCAGTTATTTGGCAGACAGGGAGAAAGTTGTTAACTTATCATTCCAGTGGGGCACTGGAATGGGTTGCCCAGGGAAGCTGTGAATGCTCCATCCCTGGAGGTGTTCAAGGCCAAGTTGGAGAGAGCCTTGGGTGGTATGGTTGAGTGTGAGGTGTCCCTGCCCATGGCAGGGGGTTGGAACTGGATGATCTTAAGGTCCTTTCCAACCCAAACTATTCTATGATTCTATTTAGAATGCTTTTGACCCAAAACACAAGGGAAGGATAGAGACACAACAGGAAGTATGAGTAGCTTTGCAAAAATACAAATGAATCAACATGTTGTGACCTATGAGGAAAGAAACCAAGTCACTCGTTATAAAAAGGGAAGAGGTGAAACATCAGTTGATTAGCCAGAGAGAAACAGAGTGGGGTTCTGAGGTTAGGCCTAGTAAGGTGGAAATATAGGCAGACAGAAAAAGTGCTCTGAATTGTTGAGTGGAAGAGAACAATGCACCGCAGTTATCCAGAGGCTGAAGCAGAACTGCAGCATATGGAAGAGATGAATAAAAGGGTTTTCTATTGCAACAAAAAAGAGAGTGAACCGAATTACAGAGCAGGTGCAATATTAAATGTCTGAAGGTTTTGTTAACGTAAATTGATGCTTTACTGAGGGATGTAAATTGACTAAATGATTTGCTCTATGTCCTTTCTCATCCTGAGCCTGGACATGGTTCAATTCTAGCAGAGCAGAAGGTAACGAAGAAATAAACCTTCCCCAACAGCGCTGAATGTTGCTGACAGGAAAGGGTGCTGAAACTTGAATTATTTGATAAATGATCATTTGTCGGGGGCGTTTGACACCGGCTTCCTTTGACACTGAATCCTCAAGGAAGGAAAGCAGGAAAAGAAAACCTGCCACCGATTTTCTGTCTCATGGGGCAAATTAGCTTAACTGATTCCAACTGCAGACTGTGCTGTGTTATTAACTTCCCTCAACTCTGGGCAGTGCATATGCTGATAGACAACCTGCTTCATAGCTAGAGGGCATTATCCTAGCTCATGGCCTGCAAGTGAGCCGTAAGCCACGTTTCAGCCCAGGCCATTTTATTGCCTTCTCCTGTTCCAAGTCAAAAGAACCCACTGGTAAACTTCTAAAGACCCTGGGCAAGACATGTCTCAGTCACTTTAACATCGTTGCTGGAGCTCAGTGAGCAGCCGTATCCAGACATACCCCTAACCTTTGTGTTTGACACGGTAACCTTCAGACTTCCAAATTCTTGTAAGAAGAATCTCTTATTCTTATAAGGAAGAATCTCTGTGAAGATGTAATTGCAAGATTCATGGTGCTGCATGATCAAGCATAATATTAGTGTCAGATCTGTCATTTTAAATCCCAATGTGTGGGACCACATGTGCAAGGTGCACATGGCAAAGGCAAGCAGGCAATGTGATAGGGTGTGTGCCTGTGCCCCACAGCTAAAGGTGCCCAAAATACATAGGTGTGCAAAACACCAACCTTTCATCACCTACTCCATGTTCAATGGTCAGTGGATCACAGGTTCGATGGGCACCCTGGTCATGGCATATCAGACCTCAGTGTGATCCACAGACATTGCTGTGGCACAGCAAAGGAGCGAGATAAGAAGCTAAGAGAACCTGTGAGCCATGGGGAGGTGGTGGGGCAGGAGGGCATGGCTTCACCAGCCAGGGCCCATCCCACTGTCCTCATGGAATGAGCAGGGCAGGCTGGAAGGGGACAGGCAGGCATAGCCTGGAGCCCAGGTCATAAGGCAAGTCCATGGGTGATGAGGCAGGTCTAGGGTCAGGAAGCTAGTTCATGAGTCAGGGTGCACAGCCAAGCATGGGTATGGCTGTGATGTGGCTGCAGTGCAGACTGTTTGGGACCCAAGGAGTCTGAGCCCAGCTTAAAACCAGATCCTAGGTGAAGGGGAGGTGGGGTCAACGGTTTCCTGCACCAGAAGTGGTCCCTTTGGGTGTAACAGCCCAGATTGATTTTTTTGTGCATGAATTTGTCTAATTCCAATGAGAACTTGCATGAAGTGCTGGTGCCAACAGCATCCTGTAGCAATGAGACCCCCTTCTTAGCTTTTCTGTCTGTTGAATTCCTTAATGAATCCCTCTAAAAAGCAAAATACTATATATATATATATATATATATATATACTATATATATGTGTGTAGCTAAATTACTGCTGAATTCTCATGGGTATCTGAGAACAAACTTTGATCTGGTATAGCTATAGAAGTATCAGGTGGTTTGAATGATTTAATACCACTGTTCACATTCAAATATAGGATTTCAGGCTTACAGATACAAGTAAGAGCCCTCTTGGGAAGAAACAATATAATGTGCTTCTTTTCTGCAGAATCTGAGAGCCAAAATGTGGAGCAGATTAAAAAGGAAGGTTGAGGGCATGTTAATAAAAATTTTATTGCATAAAGATACCTCCAGAGATTACAAGAGCAGAGAAATCAGTGTCAGTGCCATTTATCACTGAGAGAAGACTTGGCGTTCCCACTGTAACCTTGTGTTTCTATGGAGAAGGCTTCTCTTGGCTTTCTCCCTGTTATGATCAATATGAGACACTGAATATGCACAAATGCTGTTTCCAGACCCAATCAAGTTTTTGTGATAGAGAAACAGCGTAATTTGTCATTCAGAAAAGAAAATTACAATACAAATACTGTATTATTCAGTGCAGCAGACAGCTGGGAAATGCTTCCTAACTCTATGGATTATGGAGGAAATTTGAGAAGTAACACTGCAGAACTAGGGCAGATGGGGACATCACCAGAATGGTATCACCCACTGCTGGTATCAAACACAGGGACTTTTCCTCCTGTCTCTGCAATGGGAACATGCACACTGGGAATTAGGCTCCTGCACTGTTAGGCCTTTGTTGCATTGTCTTTTGGGGTGTAGGAAAACTTGCTCCATCACCGAGTATTTTTTCTTGGCATTACACACATTCAGTTGAATGAGTGGCTTTCACACAGTGCTCTTGAGAGCTTGTTGGGTGTATACGCCATAGGGCCCAGCTAAAGGCGTCTCATACCGCACATTTACAGCCTATCTCCAGCTGCTCCAAGCAACTTCAGGCTGTTGCTTCTCTCCCTGGTGCTCTGCTGGCTTTAGAACAGTGATGAAAACAAAGCCTCTATTTGTCTCAAGCCTCCATTTCAGGGTTTTCCTTGCAGGAGTTGCCTCAAGGGCTTCCTGTACACAGAACAATAAACTTTTGAATGCTCTTGAGCTGCTATGACTTTTGGGTGGGAGAATAACCAGTTATGTTTCATCCTGTCAAGAGATCATTTCAAAACAGGGTTTCTAATGGAGTCAGTGGTGTCACTACTGGAGTTAACAGGGCATCTCATCCCTCTTTTCTCCCGTTTCCTATTTAAAGCCCATCTTCAGCACACAGTTCTCTCAATCACTCTGTAGATGCTTAGCGTGCATGTGAAAGACATAATACTGTTCTACTTCCATTTGTTTTTCCAGGACATCCCATGAAATAACATGGTGACCTTTGAAGGTCCCTTCCAACCCAAACTATTCTATGTCACTATGATGCCATCATCCCATGATTTACCCCTGTACCCTTTTGTTTCTTATATCTCTCCATGCCAGAGCGCAGGAAGCTAACCTCAATGCAATTTCCCTCATCACCTCATGTGAGCTAAGTCCTTATCATCTCCTTTGATTCTGCTTTAAATATCTATCTTCAGACTGACTTTACAAAGAGCATACCATACTCCCTGCTGTCAATGCAACGTTAGCTGCTGTAAATCAATGTATTATGACACACTTAACAAGAAATGATTAACAGTGCAAGAAAATAACATTTGCCTAAACTGTAAACTAACTACCTGGAAAGCCTGCATGCAGGAAGCATCTTCATTTCTTTTTGCTATATCAGAATTGGATTCAACAGTACTGGGTTATTTCATTCCCTTGATCACTCTTATTACTCTGGAGTGAATGGTGCCAAGTTGTGTGCCAGGGGACACCTATGTACCAAAGAGTTGTAAAGTAAATGGATTAAAAGGACCTGTAGAAGTCCTTAGCTGAATGCTTCTCAAACGCTTTTCACCACTGGCTCATCAGATCTTAAAGGGTACGTTTACCAGATGATTTTAAACCCCATAATGTTAATGAAATATACAGCCAAGTATAAGCAAATGAATAAAAGTGATAGTCAAAAACCTAGAGCATGAATGAGCCCATTTTAGCCCATGTGTTATTCAGCTATACAAGAAAAAAATACAACAAAACCAAACAGGGTACATCTTTCTTTGCTTAAAGTCTGGCTTGTTCTTCACCTAAAAAAAAAAGGCTGAGAAACATTGACATACACTATTGCTCTGTCCTAATTTTTTGCATATGTTATTCCTCACAGTGTTTGCTCTGTAACCAAAGATCCTCAGAGATGGAAATTACACAAGTTCCATGAGTGACACATGGACCAGTCTGTGGGGGGCTGAGCTGAGTAACCTGTTGGTCAAAATGGGGCCCCTGTGATTTGTTCATACAGCAATTTCTGAAGAAAAGGAAAATACAAAGACAAACCTGTGTATAAGTCACGTTCTTCTTTGCTGGGAAAGAGCACTTGTTTTCAGAGCTAATTAAACAAGGAATAATTAAAAACTAAGCATAAAAGAATGAAATATTGAAAGACACTACCTCCTGTGACAATTTTAATGACATTACTCAAAACTGCCCTGAAAGTCCATAGAAACTTTGTAGTACTAGGATGTTAAATCAAATGCTGAGGAACTAGCATTATATGATACTATGGCATTAGAAGGTATTATGGTACTAGCCTTTCACAGTTGCAGATCCTCCTTTACCCATAAGATCTGAAAGGGGGGGTTGACAGTATTATTCCAGACCCTGTCTGTAGGCATCAGGGAAAAATGACTGCTGCAGTTGCAAAACTGGCTGAACTGTTCAGAAAAGGCTTGTCATGGGAGTAGGAGTGATGGGAGTAGGAGTGATGCTGTACCTCAGTCTCACATGTTCCTGCTACTAGCACATGAAAATACGCAGCAAAATGTCACCAAACTTGCCTTTTAGTTTCAAGCATAATCCAAGGCATCCCATCTGCTGTGCCAGGCCAACAGGGATCTGCATGCTGCTGCACAGGAGCTGCCAAGGAGTGCAAATGAAGGTGCGGTACGTAGGAGGTAGGTGCTGCAGGTGAAAAAGCAATTGGTTATATGGTAATATTATTCCTGTAACAGGCCAACAGAAGTACATAAATGGTCATCTCTGGAGGTAACATTGTGCTATAAAACCAAATAGCTCATTCTCCAGAGAACAGAGCTCATCTTGCCTGCGTACCTGAGAAAGTCCATCACTCTTTTTGCTTAACTGTCAAAATCAAGTTCTTGGTTGCGGGTATCTGAGTTTAAATGTCTAGATGCTGGGAAGAGGCATGATCAGGGGAGATTCTTCCTTCTGGAACCGATTCTTCCCTCCCATCTAACACAGTCCAGGTGCTTTGTCTGAAGCAGGCTATGAAAGATAGAGTCTATCAATACAGTTTCAAAATACATTATTTGTTGTGTGTACATGAACTAATAATTCTTTAACATGCTTCAGCACCACTGGAAGCAAAGATTAATTACACAAAGGTTCTCTGTATTTAGGTAGGCAAGAACCAGCTCTTACTCTTATATATAAAAGGAAGATCATTTTCTGTAAGTTTAGCTTACTGGACATGAGATGAAAGTTAACCAAATGACTTGTAAGTAAGGATGGTTAAGAGGCAAATTATTAGCTATGGAAAACATTTATTCAGATAATCCTCTGAAACACCCTTCAGTGCAAGGCTTCAAGGCTGAACTAAAGCTTGGTCTGCATTCTATGTAACCTTAGTTTGTGAACCTTGATCAACCCAATTTCCTTTTAAGTAAACAGGTTAACGTCCCCAGATAGTGATTAATTATACTGCAAAATCCCTCAAGCAGCAAATCACTTGGTTGTCCGAAATTGTGCTTTGGCCCCTTTCTGCATGCAGGTAGTCAAGCATATGACACAGTACAGATGTCAGCTTGTTATTTTACCCGGTAACTCCAGAAAAGAGCACCAAATTGGATGAAATACTGTAGCACAGTTACCTGAAGTGAAAACAACTTCTGTTTTCAAGACCATGCAGCTCCTAATGGCTGTTTTAAATTATTCCTTACTCTTCATAAGAAACGTGTGGCCTACAGAGTTACCACTTTAGCTTTGAGACCATGGATTAGTTAGATGTGAAGCATAACAGGTCGAAGAGAAAACAGCCTTCTTCAAACATTAATTCTTAAGGGGATCATTTGAAGAATGTGTGTGGCAATGTTCTTGGGCACAGTGCTCAGAGGAACGCGGAGGAACATCAGCATTGCAGATACTTCCACTCAGCAAGAGATGCAAACACTCTGAGTATCAGGATTGTGCCCAACCTACATTTGCAACGGTCACGCATCTCTTTTAGAGAAACACCTGTATCACTCAGCAGTGTCCAGGGGTCATGACCAGTTTTCTGACTTCGAGGAGAAAATCAATCTTCAGTGCCCCAGGAGGTGCTGGTGTGGACACTTCCCTGCCAGCTCTTCTAAAGAACAACTGCAAATTCCTCTCTTATCCATTGCTTAGGCCTTGTTGGGGTTTTTCTGTCAGGATTATGTTATTTGCATACAATTGCTGGTGTAGTAAAAACCTTTTAACCAGGACATCTTCATGGATGCTAATTTAGCACAATTATACAGTGAAACTGCATAACAGGCACATATTCGCTCGGTGACACAGGCAGTTAGGTACTAACAAGCTCTTAAATTAGTGTGAAACGCCAAACTTCAATCTCCTTATTGCTGTAGCTTTACTTTGGTGGGTACTTTATGCCACAGCAAGTCTTTTCAGAAGCATTTTTGTCTCTCTTAATCAGGACAGCTGTTTAATTGAGTTGGCTGTCTACCAGGTCAGAGGATTCTACTGATCGAACGTTGATTTGCTTAGCTTTAGCTAATCAGATATGAAGGTGTAGTGTTCCTGCAGGTCTTTCAGTTAGAAATACAAGCTTAGATGTCGAAGAGCATAGGTTAGAGCAATGAGAAGATATGCCGCAGGTATTACGCATTGAGTGTACCAGGCTGCTTTTCTTCCTTCTAAATTTTATATTACTGTTACAAATCACTATTGGAAAAAAACACCCTGTTTTGTTCACATTAAATGATTATATAGGTATAATCTGAATGGTTAGGTTAAGAAAAAGCAACTAAGAAAAGCAGGCCACAGGAAATATGGGGAAAGTGCCTAAATCATTACATTTGCCTAGCAGCTAGGATGGCTGGTGTTTTCCAGTGATGCACCAGCAGTCAAAAGCACTCTAGAAATAAGGTCACAAACACAATTTCCATTTATCCCTGCAGGTTCTCTTCCTGCCACAAAAAGCAGAGGAAGAGATGTCTACTGGAGGGGAGGGGAGGGGGGGGAAAGGAAGAAGAATAAATTACCCTGTGAAAGGAATTAATGAACAATCAATAAGCAGCTTTACTTTCAGCAGCCCACATGTAATTTCAAGACCTAAAACCAAACCTGGCTGTCCCTGTGGAGGTTTTTAGGGTGTTCAAAACCAGGATGGTCCTCATCTTTCTTGAAACACCTACTACCTCCCCAAGGCGCTCAGGACCCTGTCTCTTGTACTGAAAGCATGAGGCTAGAGGGTTTCTACTGCTATGGCCAAAGATGAAGTGGACGTACCGCACTCTGCCCTGCATACTCTTACAGCCAGCCCAGGACAACAAATAACACAATAGAAAGGTTAGTAGGGGTTTTATGCAGAAAAAAGAAATAAATCATTGCTAGCAAAGTTTCTAATTTGTGAAGGTGTATTTCAGATAACAAAGAGGGCTGGGAGAAAGGGGTACATCATCAAGACTTGACTTTGCGCTTTAAATCTCAGAGTTCTTTTCCTCTTTCATGGCACATCTTCTGTTTTCCTCTTTTTGGCCATTAAGCTCCTCCAGTGAGGATATGGAATTTCCTTCCTACTCAGGCACATCCTGCGTTTTGGCATTTTTTCGAGTAAACCTGCAGGCTCAGCTCTGCATCACTCAGTAAGGCACTTAGGTTACCGCTGTCTTCATCAGATAATGGCCTCTTACTGTTGGTTACATCATAGAAATAACTTTGAAGCCTATTGAGGCCAGAAAGCAACCAGCTTTAGCTACAAAGAGATTTCTGCATGCTAGTGTCTTCAGAGGAGGAACAGGATTATTTTGTAGTCAAGCTCTCCAGCCACTTAGGATTCAGCTCTGTGCTCTTCACACCTGAGCTTTTCGTCTTCCCTTGTTTTGCAATGGCTACTTTTAGGACCATGTCCTGAGAAGAAATGCACACCTTGGCACAGCAGCTCCGGAAGCTGTGAGTGTAACAGCACTGATAGACATTTCTTACTTTCTAAAGTGCACAGCAAACTGTACTTTTCCCACTTGAGTAAAAACAATTCCAGCCTTGCTGTAGCAACAGGACAAGGGGCAATGGTTTTAAACTGAAAGAGGGAAGATTTAGACTGGACATAAGGAAGACATTTTTTACAATGAGGGTGCTGAGGCGCTGGCACAGGGTGCCCAGAGAAGCTGAGGGTGCCCAGAGAAGCTGTGGCTGCCCCATCCCTGGCAGTGGTCAAGGTCAGGTTGGACACAGGGGCTTGGAGCAAGCTGCTCTAGTGGAAGGTGTCCCTGCCCATGGCAGGGGGTTGGAGCTGGATGAGCTTTAAGGTCCCTTCCAAACCAAACCAATCTGGGATTCTGTCATTCTTGTTACTCAAATTGTATTTCGGAATACTTAGCGTATGGAAATGTCCCCAAAAAGTAGAAAAACATGACTTTCCTGTCTAATATAAAATTATGGAAACTTTCTAGTAAAATAGGAAGACATATGTACAAAAGATCAGCATGGAATCTTGATATAAACTACATAGGATCTCCTGAATATTTTCTTCACCTGTGTTTCTAAACTCCCTGGCAAGCTGTTTATAATGTACAGAATCTCAAATGATGAACATGATTCATGTTTTTTGCAGAAAGAGAAGGTGACTATTTACAGGAAGATATAGCAAATATGTACCAGCCGTCAACTCACATGTAGTTTTGTCCTTCCTGCCAGATTGCTGAGGGTATATACACCAGTATTGTTCTTCAATTTATCCTGCTTTGATTTCATTCACAGCTGACAACTGCATTTTCTTTCCCTTTTTATATTTGCAATAAAATAATTGTACAAACAGAACCTGGGAGAATACAGACACCAACTCTTGTAAGCAACACTGACTGGATGCCAGACTGGAATCAGTTCACTGATTAGTTTGAGGGTGATCAATATGTGTGTTTGATTTAAATCCCCAATTTAAAAACATTATGGAAAGAGAACTGAGAGCATAACTAGCACTTCAAAGTGCTACAACTGTTTCTTCCCTGGACTCTGCTTCTGTGAAACGTGTGGGTAAGTTTTTGCTCGGGTACAACATGCCATAAGGTGATGCAGTTCAGATGCCAAATATTTAAGACCTTCTTACAATAAGAAATGTTAACAGCTTATCAGGAGAAAGTGGAAGAAACCCCACTTTTTTCAACCAAAAGGAACCCCAATAGATGGCTGGATAGGGCACATAGGTTACATTTTTTATACACCCACACTTGTAATTTCAGTGTGCTTATGGATACTACTTCTAGCCAGGACATGGCAAGTAAAATTGCATTTTCGGCTCAGATAATAAAACAAATCCCTGTAGAGGGTCCAATGGTTTGCTGGTGCAGGCGTTAACTAGACTAGAAGCTTCTCACTGTCATACCAAACCTGGTGCCTTCCTTTTCTGCACAACTCTGCCCAGTACTCATGGAAAACCTGTAGTCCATGACTGCTTTGCAGTTCTCCAGGAGCAGTGCAGGAGGGATCCTATGTAATGAACACACTAACAGAAGAATCTCAAAGCTAACACTGGGGAAGAAGGGGCTCTTGACATCAGGCCCTGTTTTGAAAGACATTATGAAAAACAGGAGTCACAGCACTGAAAAATGCTCTCTTGCATAGATTATGAAGGCAACAATCCTTTTTATTAGGGCACAGCTGCATGCTTTCCCTTGAACAGACTGAATACACATCCTCTTGCATGCTTGAACTCATCTGATTTTGGCTGTTTGCCATGGGATACTGTCTACTGGTCCTTCTAAGTCACTTCCTTTCTCAAAGTCAAAATCACAGCAGTGTTTTATAGATAAAATAAATTACTGGAAGCTCTCATGTCTTAATGTATGTACATACACAATCCTTGTTTAGTTGACCCTTTCATCTGTTTAAATCTGCCTGGACATGCTGGAAGCAGCCAGTATTTAATGGAAAATGACAAATGCTCAACTGCATTATAGGCGTTTTTCCATTCCCCAGCTCCTTTGGGAAAGATTTATAAATTAAAATCATAGAATCAAATCCAACGTGCAACAGTGACATCTGAGATCCAACATATTCTTCTGCCC